ATAGATCTATTCGAAATCAGTCTAATTATTATTATTGAAGATTGTAATAAGTCCTTAGTAAGTTTGTATAATGCCTATAGAATCTATTATTGTAATGAAATAAAACTTTATCGAAAAATCAGAGTTTTCGTATTTAGTGAAAAAGTTTTTATATAAGATAAGAAAAGAGTTATCTCTTTTATTGTTTATTTATAAGTATATTAATTGATATACTAGTACAAATATTGATTAATATAGGATTATAATCTGTTGGAATATTACTAAGATTATAATAGGTATAATAATAGTAATATTGTATGTGTATATTCTTAGAGATATTCTAGTGGGATTGGATATATATATAAGTGCATGAGGTATATGTATATAGACGATGTCACGTGAACTGTATCACGTGACCTTATGTGAGCCAAGACTGCACTTCTAACAAATATAACCATAATTTTTGTTAAAATGTGACCAAAAGGGTATAAACAGGACTCCGATTGTGTACTTAGAATCTACAAGTGAAGAACTATGTAGGGTGCTAAAAGGAGGGCTATATGTATAGGTATTGGGAGCTATAAGGGCTAGGCCCAAAAGAATGCAAAAGTCCTAGAGATAAGCATTGTATCATGCCTAGGTCTAGAGCTGTAGAGCTAGGGCTCTAAGCTGTGAAAGGAAGGTCCAAGAGAGCCGTCATATCATGCTACGTACGTAGTATGAGCCAGTGGGCGGAAGAGAGCTGTCTGTTCCGTCACATAAATTAACAAAATAGATAATTAGAAAGTAATAATGTAAGGTATCGCGTGATGAGAAGTAGAATATAGTATTATATATAATAGAGCTATATAGTTATAGAAGTCCTCGAATAAGAGTTCTAAATAAGAGCTCCGATAGTAATAGTAATAATATTAATATATAATTGAAATCGTAGCAAATACTAGTATATGAAATATTAAATAATCCTTTTTTTTCAATATACAATTTTTCAAATTTTTGTATAAAAGTATATACTAGTAATTGGCTGATAGTATTTATTTATATACTAAGTATCAAACGCAATATTCAAAATTTTATAAATACTATTCTTCAAATATTATAGATACCAGTATATATTCGGTTACTAAACAGGCCCTTCTTAATATTATTATTACTGTAGAATGCTGAAGTACAGTCAAAGTGGTACTGTACCTACTTGGTTAGGCTGGTTGGAAGATGGAGATGAATATAAGTTATGACTTCCTGTACCAGGAACGGTGCTTGCATCTCCTGAGGATGGAATTTCAATGAGTAGTCACAAGGATTTAGCTCAGACATTTAATGAAAACATATGAAAGATTCTGATGGATGTAAAGGGGTTTGACTACCGAACTTTAATTCCGCCTGTGGTCATTTTACTTGTGTACCTAGTAGAGCTTAGCGAGGGCGAGAAATAGTTGGGACAGGGATCGGGAGATGACTTCACCACTCAAAATGATGAGGATGGTCCTGTACGCATTTGAGAAGTGACTATAGGGCCATGGAGCGCAAAAGAAGTAGCAGTTGCCAGGCCACCATCGGGCACTTCTCTTCTGGTCAAAAGAAACCCAGTTTCGGTTCCTACTCGCTGACAGAACATGATATGCGTCGACTGTAGGCTTAATTCGAGTTTTTGCATCCGATATAACCTTTTGAATCCAATTTTGGTTCCTGAACAATCTGGAAAGAAATGGCCTCGATTGAGCCAATCATCAGATTTGAGGGTAAATTTTGTCTGAGATCTAAATCCGAAATATCTTCGAAACCAATCACCTTCTCTCACCATATTGCAGCATAGTAAATGTATAAAGTTATAACAAGCGAGCGCCGCTTACTAGTTATTACTACAATTAAGGTTCTTTTCCTACCGGAAAGTGGAAAAGTGATGGGCCACACAGATTACATAGGTTACACACGGAGAACGTACATTCATGATTAGTCAGCATAATTCAAGACAAACGTCCCTCAAACTTTACATCCACTATATTGGTATTGTCTGAATCAGACCTATAGATTGTGGAGCTTCCCGATTCCCCTAGAGTCCTAGGTAGTAAGCAGAAACACCTACCTCTGGCCTACCTAAACCTACTACAACACGAGAAACTACACGCGCAAACACAAACTCGATTACAATTGTTCGCTGTCAAGTTTAGAAAGTATGTCTACAACAAGCACCTCTAGTAGTGTATCAGAAGATCCTTTAATTCGGTTCGCTCCTGTCTTGGCTGCGGTCAGCCACAGTTCGCTGACTGCGCTCGCACAACGTATTCGGCGGCAGTTGGAGCAGAGTCAAAAGAGTTCCAGCAATCAGACAGACCATCAGGAGAACGAAGCCGATATTCTTCATTACGGCTGTACTGTACTCCCAACGGCAATCTATGGCTCCTACAACGTCCTCAAGATTATTGAATTTTCCGATGGTCTGCGATGGATTGTGCGAATCCTTTCTACTGGTCTAAAAGGACAGTACACGGCAGAGAGTTCAACTTCCTTGAAATCCGATGCGTTGACGATGCGCTTTATCAAGGCAAACACCACCATGCCTGTACCAGAGATTTACGATTTCAGTGCAACTACAGAGAATGATGTTGGAGCACCATACATTCTCATGAGTTTCTTGGACGGGGTTCCAGTTTACGAGGTATGGTTTGATGAGTCTGGAGAAGTCCCAAAGGAAATTCGCAGGGAACAAATCTTGGATACTATTGCAGAAGCTATGTCGCAGTTGAAGAAATTTCACTTCGATCAAATCGGCTCATTGCAATTCGATACCAACTTGAACCCCACTCGAATTGGAAAATGCAATCTGGTGGATGAATATGGTGTTCTCGATAACCTAAACAACGAAACTGATGAAGGCCCAAAGTTTTTACAAATCGGCCCCTTCAGCTCATCATACGACTATTTCGGCGCACTATTTGACACACAGAGACTTCCAAAGGATTCATTCACAATTGGCATCCATAAGCTTCTACGAATGATGATCCAATGTATTCCACCTTCGGTCCCATCGAAAGAGTCTGCGGATGTCCACCCACTTCTCGAAACTTTCGTGCTTGCTCATCCCGACGCTGGTAGTCAGAACTTCCTTGTGTCTAAAGATGGGGTACTGACGGGTATCATCGATTGGGATGGTGTGCATACAGAGCCACATTGCATTGGATATCAGAGGTATCCTAGTTGGATCACAAGAGACTGGGACCCCGCTATGTACGGATATCTTCAATCGGGTTGCCAACCGAAAGACTCTCCTGAAGCCCTGGAAGGTTATCGCCAGCGATACTCAAAGATCATGCAACTATTCGTACCAGAGTACATCGACTACATATCCAAATCCCACATATTTGAAGCACTACAGATTGCATTATCAAGTCCAGTATGTAGGGATAATATTGTTGTGAAATTCTTTTGTCAACTCTTTCCAAAAGAGGATCAAGAGGAAGCAGAACATCCAATGTATTTATATGAAACTGCTGTTGGTATAGCGGAAGATCGATTGGATGAATCGGCGAAGGCAAGAATAATAGATGCTATCGTCCATTTTTTCAAGTTATAGACTTCTGATCTTTTATAGGACTTTAATCAAATAAGATTCCTTTCTCACAAGAAATTATTGATGAATTGGGATCAAGTAATTTCATCCTTTTAGATGTGACTTCAACTGTTCGCGATGTATCTTACTATTAATCGTTGACACCCAGCCTAATCTGATTCGATGAACCTTCAGCCCCACGCCACACGAACACACTCTGCATGTTTTCTGCAGCCCTGAAACACGCCTGCGAATCAAAGTCCTCGGATATTCTGCAATTTACGAGCTGAGATGCGGGGTGTCGGGAAAGAGCTCATGAGGACTGGTGCCTAGAACATTGGAGTTGTTAAGAAGAAGTTTAATAGCTTTTCTTTTCTATTCTTATTTTTCGAACCAATTTTTGATATCAGAAGTCTGGAATGATGAGCGAAAACAATATTGAAGCCCCGGACTCGGACGGGTTTGAACATGTCACGCAACCTTTGGAGAATATCAAGGAAGATGTTGAAGGCAGTGTAAGTGAAGGGGTTGGTGAAAAGATTGCGAGCGATGAGGAGAATAGCGATGATAAGACAGAGAAGAAAGAAGACAGAACGAAAAATCTAGATGTGAAGAATAATAGTCGTGAAAAGTAAGCTGAAGGTGGTACAAAAAAACTCCGAACCTAATGGCTGACACTTTTCAGGAACTCAAAAGCTGTACCAACAGATCTCAGTAAGAGGACTTCTGAAAATTGCCCAACCTGGACACGAATGCACCTTCGTCACTTATCTCTTAAAGTCTTGAAAACCCACAACATAGACTATATCATTGACAAAGCCGTAAGTTCTACTGCCCTTATATGCAAGTTCCGAATCGCTTATATGATACAACACAACAGGACCCAGATTACGTCTTGATCCAGCGCTTTGTCCCCGAGCATGAGCAAGATTTCCTTTGGGCAGCAACTCGTGCTTTGCGCACCAGACGTAATCCTGCCCATCATGTTTCCAACTCGGTATCGCCACGACGTCGTCGTTTTGAAGGAGCCTCGTCTCCTGGAATCATCGAAGTGCGTCGAGCTGGTAGCGAGGCGGAGCTGAAGCTTGATGTCAATAGGATGGAAGTGAAAGAATGGGTGGGGGTGAAGCATATGGAGCAACGAGGAAAACATGTTTTGGATGTTGCGTTGGAGGAAGGAATAGCGGTTAGATTGGCGATTAATTCGGAAGCGCTGAAAGATGAATTGAGGGTAGTAGTGGGAGCGGGGGTGGGCTTGGAAATAAGTGAGGAGCGAAGAGTTCTGTTGGCCCCGTGGAAGGTACTTGTGGAGTATGGGGGAGCGATTAGGCAGAGATTACAAAAGCTGGAGGAGATGATCAAATCTAGAGATGCAGTACTAGTGGAAGATCAGGTGGAAGAGGGTGACAAGGAGCCCCACCAAGTCCATGAGGAGGTGAGATCGGAGACTTATGAGATCCGAATAAGGCCTCCACCTATTCCATGCGAGGTGTGTGACGTTATATATCCGTCTCACAAGACACCACTTGAATGCCTCGACACAAGGATACCTCACCTAAAGTGCCTCATCGAGTTCATGGATTGCGACCTCAAACATGTTTTCGATCTTCGACAACGAATCAAGGACGGCACCCTCAAAGAAATTGCCTTTGCTGATCTGTGGCATTTATTCAATCCTGGCGATCTGATCGTTACTTCCCCTTTGTCTCGTGCTTATCGAATCTTCCATATATCTGGAGGTCGACCACGTTTATCGAAACCGGACTTATTTGAAAAGAAAACAGTCGTCTCGCCTTTCAATATCAACTGTTTCTATATGGATCAGGACTGGAAATCCGTGGGTCCGATTCATGAAACTTTGCGAATTCAAGATTATGTGGGGAAGAAATCTGTGATGGAATTGCAATTTGAACTAGATGGGAAGCTCATGGTCGAGAAGGTGATGATTTGCCCCGTCAAGATGCTGTCGGTCGAGGACCGGAGGAACCAAATGATAAATTTGATCTCGAGAGGAAAGAAGTTAAGATCGTTGAGGCAAGGCGACCATAAGTATTACAGTGGCAGTGCTGGAGAAGAGGTATCGAATTTATCAGGTGATGATGATTTGAGGTTCCCAAGAAGAGTGCCAGTATATCAAGCAAGGTCCGCTGTGGACTCGAGAAAAGAACCCGAATACGTGAGTACGCTATATTGTAGTAATGAACCAGTACTGACGTTGACACAGGTTGAAAGCTATGTCATCATAGATAATGAGGTCCATGGCGATAACAAAGCTATTGGTCTTATCGACGCGATCGAGTTTGATTATCGAGAGACTGCAGAGAGTTGCACTCACTATGGAGTCTCAAACAATCAATACATCATCAATGACCGTTTCCGGAGAGACTGTCGATGTTCAGATGTGGTTGTCGATTATGTTGTCGACAATGATCGTGCGGCCAAGTATAAGGATGATTTGCATCTTTTAAAACCACGCGATATTAACGATGAACTTGGGGATGACCATCTCATGTTGTTGCCACCCACTATTGAAGGATTTGTATTACAGAAGAAGGCGTGGAAGATGCTGAGGGTGGATATGATCAGCGATCTCAAAGAACTGGAGATGACGAACCAAGTGGATTTCAAAGATCTCGTACTACCGGCAGGACATGAGAAGTTATTGAAAGCTTTAGTGAGCACCCATCCAAGCAGTAAATCATGGCTTTCCCAAGAGAATAACAAGTCCTGTAAGCCTATTGCACAGTTGAAATTAGAAGTGAGAACTTTACTAATATGGTGAATAGCAAGTCTTGCAATCTTTCTTCACGGACCCAAAAGCACAGGCAAACATCTCATGGTGAAAGCACTCGCCTCTCATTTCGACAAGCCGCTATACACCATCACTGGCTCGGACTGTGGTATAAACACATGGGACTTTGCACGCGAGTTTGCGAATCATTTTAAGCGAGCCACAAAATGGAACTGCATAGTTGCGATTCCTGACGCCGATAGTCTATTCCCGCACCGTAAGACAGCTTCAGATAGCGATTTTGATGCATCAGGGGTCTTCTTGAGGGAACTGGAGCTATTTAATGGTATTGTTGTTCTGAGTACAGATCGCAAATATGTTGTGGAGGAACAAGTTGTAAATGGGATGAATGTCTGCCTGGAAAATGACTCTTGGAGCAAAGAAGACAATATGACCGTTTGGCACAGAGCGTGGAGACTCAAATCTGACGAAGCGCTTTTGAGCTCTAATGAACTACATAGTCTTGAGATGCAGCAAAGCACACGCAGCTATTGGTTGAAATTCATAGAGCGGGAGTATACTATGGGCAAGAGATGGAATGGGGTGGAAATCGACAACTATTTTGATACTGCGTTGGCTATGGCGAAGTATGACAACGATGGCTCCCAAACACTTGTATTGGAGACTAATCACTTGATTATCGCCGCAAGAGTTACCGGAGCTTCTGTTTCTTCTGTGTTTTAGGGTCGTCAATGCCTTTTGGGGGATACAGCTTTAGCGGATAGCTGTCACTAGGCTAGATTATAACCAATGTCATCTTTTCTCGCACATCCTGTTGCATTGAATACAACTTTTCAATAATTGTAACCGCTTAATATTGCTTCAGTACCTGTGCTATCTATCTCGGCCTTTAATAACGATTGCGTAAATATACAATATGTTGAATCCTTCACTAATTTTCTCTATAATACATGGCCCCGGAAATCTTGTACCTGTACCTCAAGAATTGTGTGAAATATGTCGCTCTCATCCACCTCCCCATGATCTCCCCAAACCAATCCACTAAGCCCCATATCAACACCCCAAATCCCCATATCCCAATATCCCTATAACCTCAATAAACAAATCCACCCACCGCTATCTCCTTCTCATCTCACCTCCATATCACCTAGTGACTCTTCTTATTCCTGTGCGTCATTCTTGATTCTGCCCATCAACGTCCCATCAGCATTGATTGGTACCCATGCTAAAATCTCCGGTATAAAAATCCAAGGGTAATCCGATTTGGGACGGTCAGCTTCGATTGCATGGACGACCTCGACATTTTTCCAATATGCGATTCTGTTTTCTTGATCGGCCAATTTCTTAGAATACGCATCCCTGGCACTCGAAAAATGAGTGAGTCTCATTCTCTGGTTTGGACCAAAGATCCCTTCTCTTCCAAATTGCTTGCCATGGCCTTCACCACCTCCGTTACCAAAATCTGAACCGTCAAAGAAGTCACTTTCGTAGAACCTCTCATCGATATCGAGAAGTCCGGATTTTTCATCATAACACATGCCACCTATTGAAAAAGTAAAAGTCTCGAGAATCAAGCTTAGTTTCTTGAGTGATTGGCAGTGCGTTTCAACGAAGATGAAAACCCATTCGAGAAGACTAGTTACATCCTCCTGGGCCATAGTCGAGAATTCCATTGATTCGATTCGCACAGCTAAGTAGCTAATATTGGAGAGATTCATGGAACCTCCAATTTTGTACAATTTCATTAGACTTTTGGCGTGGATCATTAATGTATCTTGGGAAGGGCGCATCCAAGCATAGGTACGCTGATGAATCATGTCCTCCAAATATTCGTCATCGATGAAAGGTTCCTCTTCTGCCTGGTCCCGAAGATAATCTCTCTGTTGTTGGTCCTGGTGGTCTGGAATGGAAACCGCGATTCTCTCAAACCCGTCTGCAAGAACAACCTCCTTGGACATCTTCGAGGCTAGCATCAGCGGCAAGAGATCCGGAACTGTAGAAGGTACCGAATGAATCAAGATCTCGTAAATGTCGCTTTCTGTGTCGATAATTCTCTCGGTGAGACAGAAAAAGAAGTTGACGAGTTTTGCGTCATAAGAAGGCAATGCTTGCTCAAAAATCATCAACTTCAGTTCATTGGGAAGTCTGTTAAAGGGGTGTAATTCCGTCAGGATGGTATTCGTGCCTGAGTTGGTCGAAGTAGATGAGTCCAATGGGAGTGCTCCTGTCAACATGTTCTATCAGCACACTGGCATGAACTAAGTGCGATCTAGGTTTGGAGTGCATACCATCAGTATCCTTAGAATCGGAATTTAAACCATTCTCACTTGCTGATATATCTGATGATAGTGTTCCTGTTATAGTTTTTAGCACCACGTCAGGTAATTAATGATTATGTAGGGCTTGAATCTTTAAACCTTCTTTGTCGTTAGAAGAGGAACTGTCCACCAAGCTCAAGGCATCTTGGCCAAGAATGACTTGCTCAATCGACATTGTTGCTATGGTTTTTGTTTGAGATGAAGTTTACTTTCAGAAGTGTCGACTCCCTAATGTAACAAATAATATGTATTACCGTTGTACGTTGTATATGCTTTTTAAATGGTTGATTATTTCCAAATATACGACACAAGTATTTTGTTTGTGAGAGAAATAGGAAAAACCCGGATTCATGTGATATATATATCAATTGATGATCATGCCCACTACTATCTAGACTCAGCTACTTGGGATTTCCTTGATCCTAATACAGAATAAGCTTTCAGCTAATAAACCTTGCTCGCCTCTGAGTCACAGCAAGTATTAGGAACGGAATCAACAATATCCGATTCTTTCTGTAATGCAATTCGAAGCTGGCTAATGAAAACCTGTGATCCACTTTTGATCAGTCAGTTAAAGTACTAGTATATGATTGTTTAATTATCCCAAACCTTGCATTACGGACAAATCAGATATAGGATTCTGAGATACTAGTCAATGCCAGGAGTAGTAAATCTTTAGGTATTTGCATTGGAATATTAATAAGTCAGTAAAGATTTGTGAGTATATATATAAAGACTCTTTATATAAGACTATCTATATTCTAATAGAATATATTACTACTTTAATAATATATCTTGATTCTACTAATAATAAGATATTATAATAATTTCAATCGATTAGTATAAACCTAGATACCTTTAAATCTTATTATTCTTAAATTTATTAAAATAT